CAGAAAAGGCAAACTTTTGATAGAAAAACTTTTTTGATTTATATTTTTCACCAAAAATCTTGTTCTATAAACTATTTTAAAGAATCAACTTTAAAAAAATGTCTTGATTACCCAGGTATTTAAAATAAGAGTGAAAAAACTAGCAATTTTTGTGATCAAAATATTTATCATATCAAGCTGAAAATTGGTTTATATACTAATGAGGTATATTAATCTAGATAAGTGAAGCATTTTTTATTATTTATAATATATAAAAGGTTACAACATTTGAAACAAACATAGAAAAATTGCTGAACATTCATCCAGCATTTTTTCTCATAAAAAAGTACTTCCCTTATTTTGTTTTAAATATCCTTCAATAATCCGCATCTTTTTTAATTATGTAAAAAATCGCAAAAAAAATTAGATCAAAGCTTAAACAAGTTTAAAGTTAATCATATTTTAAAGATTTGTATTCGAGGCAAAACTTAGTTTTGAGGAAACAACAAATATATAAAACAAAAGAATAAAACCATAATAAAAAGTTCATATAAACATATTAAAACCCTCCAGGAATATATTTTTTTCTTTATCAATTTCTTTATTACCTTTGTCTAACTAAGTCTTTTGAATTGTTTTTAGCTATTTTTCTCTCTTTTTAACACGCTCAGTGGACTATTGAAAAGACCGCTTTATAGCTTCTTTATTCTAATCATTAAGTTTCAAAGACGCTACATATCCTGTTAGTTAAAATTTATTAAGTACAAATAAGATTCCATTAGGACCTTCATAAAATTCAATCTCAGACAAATTAACTGCAGACTCAAAGACCCCTCTACTCACAAAAATAGGTTTTGGGCAGCATCTCCAAATGATCTCGTTCAGTGTCTCTTTGGTGTTTTAGTAAATCATCTGAAGATAAATCAGTAAAAGTTGGTTTCAAAATGTTGAAGACTGAAGTGTATGTAGCAAAAATATTTACTTGCTCTACATAAGTATTTTCACCATGAACTTTCTCTAAATGATATTTGCACTAAGTCTCAGTTTCTCTTGGGCAAATACGGTGTTGACATTTCTTGTCGTCAAAATCTGTACAACGAAACTGAACCGCCTAAAAAACTTTTTTTATAGCATACAAATTGTTAAGATTGTTTCTTTTTGCTAGACTAAGAAGTTCTGCATCAAAGATTAAGTTAACTTTCTTTTTTGATGTAATGGTGTGTTTATTCCTTTATAAGTTTGTACCTTACAAAATCTAGTGTCCAATCTCTTCTGTTTAATTTATATAAATTTTGCAATAAAAAAATGTTATCAGGATTTTTAAAAAATTAGTTATAATCAATAAAATTGCTGCAAAGTAAAGTTTTCAAAAATTTGTGTTAGAGGGTGTCGTCGACAAGACCTCATTAAAATGGTAATTTTCCTTTGCATTTAAAGCATCTATGCAAAAAACTATGATTCTCAAACTTATGATCAATTAACTTAAATAAGATATGTCAGGCTTGGTCGGGAAGTGGGAGCGATCGCTCTTGAATACTGACCACGGAAATTATATTTAGTTGCGTAAAACTGGCCAGGTTTTTTAGTCGTTTTGAGAACATTTAAGTTTATTTATGAAACAAAAAATTTTTGTTTTACGGACATACATGGAAACATAAAAAACTTGAATGTCCATAAAACATCATTGTGCGCAAAAATAAAAAGAATATTTGCGAGCACTAAAAACCCGCCAAATTAACGAACAAACTAATTCTATTGGTTCAAAAAATACGCTGATTAAGCGAAATAAAGTTCTAGAGTATTCTGTTGAAATGTTTCAGAATTTGTATTATTCACGATTTGTAACGTTTTGAGATTTCTAGAATTGTTTTAAGAATATATATTATTTGTTTACAAAAATAAATGTTTTAAATTTATATTAATTAAATTGTTAAAATTTTAAAAGTTTATTATAAATTATAGATTTTATTAGTATATTCTTATTTTTTATTTAAAAAGTATGTAATCTTTATGTAAATGTAATTTTGTGTATCTGTTTTTTATCGTAATGTATCTTTTAAAGCAATTTTTATGATTTAAATAAAGACTTACAAAAATAATTGCATTTTCAATGAAGTTATAATCGTTAAAGTTAATAAAACTAATTATGTAACAAACATATAAGAAGTTTCTAGTTACTAAACACAAACAACGCATACAAAGTAACTCGCGGATGAACAAGCATCGCGCCTGAGGTCACGACAGAACACAAATATATATAGCAAATAATTAAATTAAAAAAAAAGTTTCTAGATATTGGTTTACTAACTCTAATTATTTTCGCTTAAGTTGCCATTCTTAAAACTCGTTTTACTTTTTTCTGCTTTAAATACTAATTAAAATTAAAAAGCCCACTCACTAAACATTATCAGCGATATTGTGAAGCAGTTTCGCTTCCTGGTCATTAAGTATTTTTAACCTTTTTAGTTGATATCTATCTTGATAATTTAATTCCTATAGTAATTCAATGATTTAATTATTTCATTTATTTATCTTACTAAAAAGAATCGCTTCAAATATGTAAAACTTTTCAAACTACGCAAAACATAAAATAGGTATTAAAAAATTAACTTTTTTATTTATTAAACAATTTAGCTCAAGTAAAACTAAAACTTGCAAACTTAGTTAAATAAAGGATATTTGTTTCTGTTTAAACAATCGTAAGTTGTTAATTTTATAAAAAAATTATAAAAGAGCGATGTTTCGAAAATATTTGTTCTAAATGTAATTTATTTAGCTTTAAGTTTTTTCGCGTTAAAAGATATTTTATTTGCCTATTTTTTTTTTTTTTTTTTTTGTAATTGTCTCTCATCGGTCCAATTAATCTTTGTCTTTTTTTTTTTTTTGCTTTTTAAAATGTTCTCAAAACGACTAAAAAATCTGGCCAGCTTTTCGCAACTAAATATTATCTACGTGGTCAGCAATCAAGAGCGATAGCTCCCGCTTCCCGACCAAGCCTGATATGTACTTAATAATAATAATCACGATTTTTTTTTTAATTGGTATATACAATTTTTTTATAAAAAATAATAAAACAGTGATCAAAACCCACTACTTTACTAAATAGGATAATATCAGTCACTCTGGTTAAGGCTATGAACTTAATTAATGAAACACTTTTGAACTTTTATATATGAACAAAATGAAAAACTGTGTTTTTATAAAAATCTGTGAAAATGATACCCAATTAGAATTTTATTAACCCAGCAATTATTTTATAGTGGATTTGCAATGGACCTATATAAGCATTTTGAGCAGTTAATTAGAGTTTTGCTCAAAGGTTTCTTAAGGGATTCGCTAAAAGTGGCTAGCCAATAACTCTTCAACATGTAATATAAAAGCTAGTTGTTGGCTAGCCATGATGACAACTGCCAATTGTGGTCCACTATGTAACCAATGAGCCTTTTCACAGTGGAAAAAAAGTGGGAAACTCTCAAAATGCCTATAAAAGTCTACTAAAATTCCGCTGTAAATTTTTGCTGGGAAGATTGTTTAAAACAACAATTTGCTGTGTGTATTTTTTTCATTAAGTCAAAATTAGTTTAAAAATACTTGAAAAATTTATTACTTTGATTTAAAGAAAGATGTCAGAAGATTGTTGTAAAGTTTTTATTTTGAAATAATCAAAAATAGTGTTGTGTATTCAAAATGAGCGCGTTTGTTAACTATAAACTCTGTATTAAAACGCTTTATTTATTTATTTAAAATTTATTTACATAAACATTCAATATATAGTTTTATATTCTGTAATAAAAAATTTCCCCTGTTTTAATTGATTGTCCGTTTCTTTACCCTGAAAGTCCGATAACACGCCTCTGAGACTTTGAATAATTTCCGTTTGATTTTACAATTATTGTTTGCATCAATTTTATTTTTTGGATAAAAAAGAGTAAATAAGTTTTATCTTAAAATAGTAACTTAAAAATGATTGCAAAATAGACCTTTCAAATTCATTTATAAGCAAAAACCAGAAAGTTCGGTAATGCAACCTGAGTAGTTTCGGTAATGCAACACCTCACAGTTAAAACTAAATTTCTAAAAAATCTTTTTCGTTTCAAAAGCAAAGTTTATACTATTTAGACATTTGATTTAGTAAATATTATATCCAGCAGAAAAAATTTTCTTAAAAACGCATATAAAAAAATTTTGTTAAACGTTCTTTTTTGAAAACCCAAGTACGAGATTTGTTAAAACAATATATTATATAAAGTTTACTTGAACTCAGAAACTTAAAAACGCCATGATGATATGAAAAATGTCAAAATTTAGAAATGTGGATTTATTTAGTTTATAGCTTGATTTGAAGAAAATGAATAAAAAAAACATACCCGAATGTCATTTTTATGATCCCCATGCATAAACCCTCTTTTTCGATGCATTCGGTAATGCAACGCATTTTTTAGAATGGCTCTTATTTAAAGTTTTTGCTGAAAATTTTTTTTCAAAAATAACATATCTAAAAAGTTTTGATCTTTCTTATTGGTAATACTGAAAAAAAATTTAAAAAATACTGAGCGGCACGGCAATAATCTAAAATCCTGTTAGCCGATGACCTTGTTGCAATAACGAACAGAGAACCATATACTGATGATGATGATGATGATGATGATGATGATGATGATGATGATGATGATGATGATGATGAGATGATGATGATGATGATGATGATGATGATGATGATGATGATGATGATGATGATGATGATGATGATGATGATGATGATGATGATGATGATGATATAAAAAAATTTAGTAAAAAGATTTATACTTCTCCAGAAAAGTCTAAAAAAAAGCAAACAAAATACCAACTTTGTTGGCTGATACAAATCAACCTACAACCTGTTGGTTTATAGTTGATAGATTTTCTAGATTTTAAAAAGTTATTAGAAATTTTATTTTTAGAATTTATAAAATAAATTTAAAAAAAAAATCCTTTTTTATTACTTTTAAATTTGTTAATTTCTTTTTTAACAAAACACAAACCTTCCATGCTAAACTTTGTTGCAGATCACCTACTTTTTCTTTTAATGATAAAACCTCTTCCTTGTATTTCTCCCTCATATAAGCTAAAATGGTTTCATGATGAGCTCTTGATAATGATTCTGTCTGGTTGAGTTCTCGTATTTGCATCTGTAATTCACTAATTGTAGAATCTGAAACAAAAAGCTTCTCATTTGCTTCTTTGATCTGATTTGTTAGTAGCCTGCATTGTTTTTGTTCATTTTGAAGAAGGTCCTGCAGATTATTAATTTCACACTTTTGATCTTGAATGACTGCATTTAGTTGACCATTAATTATTCTTAAACCTTCCATTTTGGCTTAAAAAAAAAAAATTTTTGCCTTAAAAAATTTTCAAATTAAATATACTGTTTTTGTTTTCTTTTTTTAGGGTTGTTATTTTCAGATACAAAATTTGATACCAAATGAGGAAAAAAATAATATAAGTCATAAAAATTTATTGACAATAAAAAGCCTTGATAAGCTTGATAAATTTATTAAATTATTTCCTCAATATTGCCTAATTGTCCAAGGTAAATACGAGTTACTAGATATATTTAGAAAATAAACTCTCGGGTTCACAATTTGAAACCAAGGCAAGCGCAGACTGTATCAATGGGGCAAGGGCAGAGTCAGACCAAGTAGTAATGGAGGGCCATTTTTAGATTTTTTTGATTTGATGGTTCCAGACTGTCTATTAGGGGAAGAGAGGGGGTGATTTTTCACTTATAATCAGGGCTGTGGAGTCGGAGTCGCGGAGTTGCGACAATTTTACCGGAGTCGGAGTCGCTAAAAAATATCGCGACTTCGACTACGATAGCAAAATTTCTTGGTATTGCACGTGCATGTACAAAACATTCAATTAACCTTATGTTCATACCCCTGTTTATAATGCTTTGTAACCTGGCAAGAACATAATTTAAAATTTACACTACACAATTTTATCAAAGTTTTATGCTAATTTAAACAGCATCCCTAATTTACTTATGTTTTTAAAGAACTTGCTGTGTTATATAGCTTTAAGAAAAAAAAAACTAAATATCTAAACGTGGTTGTTCCTATAGATATTGCACTCTTTCCTCCCCCCCCCCCCCCCTCATATTATATAAATAAATAGCAATTAGTTTTCTCGCTTCCTTTTGTATCAATAAAAACTGTATAGTTTAGCAAAAACATTTGAAAAAAATTAAATTGAAAAATTGTTCAAAGCTCTAGCGTAAATATTATACTATTTCCTTATATATACATAAAAGCTAATGATAAAAGTCGTGAATAAATTAAATTATTTCCTTATATATACATATATCTACTGATAAAAGTTGTGAATAAATTAAATTATTTCCTTATATATACATAAAAGCTAATGATAAAAGTCGTGAATAAATTAAATTATTTCCCTATATATACATATATCTACTGATAAAAGTTGTGAATAAATTAAATTATTTCCTTATATATACATATAGCTACTGATAAAAGTCGTGAATAAACTATATCATTTCCTTATATATACATATATCTACTGATAAAAGTCGTGAATAAATTAAATTATTTCCTTATATATACATATAGCTACTGATAAAAGCCATGAATAAATTATATTATTTACTTATATATAAATATAGCTACTGATAAAAGTTGTGAATAAATTATAAATCAAAATATCTTTTCATTTTTTATAAATTTAAATGAGTTATAACGTTTTAATCATTTATTTTCCTTAACTTGTATCATTTTTCATAGCGGAAATAACTACCACCTTTAAAAAAAATCGAAAAAAAAAGGTAATTTTTTTTTTAATAATTTTTATTTCTTTAATTTTAAATTTTAAAGCAGATACAGTGCAGATTTTATTTCTTTATTTTAATAATTTCCAGCTGTATTTTCATTAAGCTTTGTTTTAGTGCCAATTCTTGTAACACATAATGTAAAATTGCCACTGTCACTTGTCTAAAAAAGTTATTTTCTGCAAACAAAGTGTTTCCTGGGAATGCATGTTATACATAAGATAAATTTAGTAAATATAAAAATATTTGTGGATTTTCTTCATAAAAAAAAAAATTCTAAGAAAGCCCATATTTAGATAAACAGTTAAAGACCCATGCAGGAATCCAGCATGGCCTCTGGAATCACCATGCTCCATTGTTGGTTATACAATACGGTTTCATGGGTAGTTTTTTATAATAAAAATAATAACAAATCTTTATTAAAAATAAATTATATAAAATAAATTTAAATTACAAAAGCTTACATTTTTTATAATTTGTAAAGTAAATTAAAAGTTATTTATATAAAGTTAATAAATTTACTTATATTTTACAATAACTTTGACAGGATCTTGCACAAAGTAATGCAAAAAGGTAAAATTTTAAGGCACTAACATTTAATTTGCTGCAACATTTGATTTGCGCAGTTTTAGGTATTTCTTCCCTGTAAAGTTTGAAAGTATCAATAATAGGTTTTCGTCCATAATTAAAAACCTCTCCAGTTCCGATCCATATTATTTTTAGCTATAATAAACATTCTCTGAATCAAACCGCCTCAAAAATGTTCACTCTCTGGCCAACCATTCAAAAGGTCTGCAATTTAATCAAAAACAGAAGGAGCATACACCTATGAGAGATTCAGAAATGACAGTTTATTTGAAAGGAAAGTAATTGGCATAATAGTTATTTTTCTTTAACAAGATTTTAGTGTAAATGTATTTATTATTTAAAAACTATCTTTATCTGCGTGTAGTATCAGTAACCTTGATACTGTAAGGCCATTATAAGCAAAACTTACAGTCCCACAAGCAACTGCACCTAGAGCCGCAAGGTTTAGGAGCCCTAAAATACATTTAAAGAGTTTTTTTTTTAGAAAAGTTATTGTTCCAGAAAAACAGAAATTGGGCACCTTGGCCATGTGTCTACTGACCAAAAATACTTTTCTACGCCACTGTGCAATATATGTATAGCCCGAGCTGTAGCTAAACAATGATTTATAAGTAGATTAAGAAATCATCTTAATCTATGAACCCAGTGGAGGCTGGAAAAAAAAAAACCTAAAACATTTATCATCCCTACCCCAAATGTGAGGGTAACAAATTACTTTTAATTTTCTTACATTAAATTTAAGTCGACAGGTTTTAAAATTCAAAAGTTATAGTTTAAAGTTTACACCCAAACCAAATAAGGTGGTTGCTTCAACATTTTCCTGAACATTCTAATGTGATAGAAACAAGAACATACTTAAGTTTGTTACTTAAGTACGCTTTATTTAACAAAAGTATATTTATTAATCAATATCATTGATTTTTCATAATTATAATAATATTACATCTCAAAATTTACTGAAGTAGACATCATTATATTATTGGTTACCATAAAGTCTTTAAATGAGTTTAATATGGTTTTTAACAACACATTAAAAGACCTCATTTGTACGTATCTATTAATAATACTATTATTTAAAGATGCTGTTAATTAAATAATTCTAATCGGTTTAGTGATAAAAGGAATTGCTGTATTTTCAAATTATGGAACATTTTTACATTGATTTTCACCAAGTATAATACCACGCAATACTTGCATTTAAATCAATTTAAAATTAAATCTTGTATTTTGTTTAGTTTATTTTTCATGGATAATATTTTTTAAACCATTTTATTTATATGTTAAAAAAATAAAATTATTCTAAATTTCTACTATTTATGCAACATTTCTTATGTTTTAGTATGTTATTTTAGAAAATGATTTCTCTTTTTCTAAAAGACTATTTTTGTATTCTTCTTGTCCAGGTATTTGTATATTTTGCAAAAAAAAAGTAATAATTTGTAACAGCAAATTTAGAAAAATTAAAAATTATAAAAATTAAAAATCAACCACTGCATTAAAAAATGTCTTTTTGTAATAAAAAAAAACAAAAATCAATAACGAAATTTCAAAAAAAAATTAATTTGATAATAATCAAATTAATAATAATAAAAATAAAAATAATTTGAACAATATATTATTTAAAAAATACAAATGAACTAGTATTTACGAAAAAGAGTTCAATAAACTTTCACTCCAAACTTTTGAATGAGGAACAGTATTTAATTGTTCAAATTTAAAGTAAAGTAACAAAAATTTACTGAAATAAAAAGAACTTGAAGTTATTTCATCTGTATAATAAAATAACATCAAGACACTTTTCACAATTGACCATATAATTTTTAATTTGAAAGTGTCCTTTTTTAAACTATCCTTCTAAATTTGCTATATTAAATAAATTAAAATAAGCGGTTGTTGTGCTTATGAGAAGTTATAATTTTTAAGTTAATTACTTTTACTGTTATAACTTTAATTTTTTTTTAATTAATCTTGATGTTATTTACATCAGTCTGGTTACTCGACTGTATGGTTCAGTGATCTTACTTTGGAAATGGCTCTGCATATTTGTATTTTGTAAATTTTGGCTTCTTTTATTCAGTGTGGTTGTTGTTAAAAACCAATCTAACCAAAATGAAAGTTATTTCTGGAAATAATTGTCAGATAGTAGAATAATAATAATTGTCTGAACAACAATAAACTTATAGAAAATAGTTCATTCCAGACAACAGTTTTATGAATAGCTATTAATAAATAAATTTAATAAAAAATTAATTTTCATTTCTGTTAGAGTGGTTGTTACACAAATGCTGGAAGTTTCAGAGCCCTAGCTAGTCTGGAAGGTAGTCTAAAACGTTTGAAAAAAAAAAACAAGTTTATTCTAAAGCACTATTTTAATGGAATTTAATTTTTTTAAACATGATTTTGCGGGTTGGACACCTTTGCAACAAAAAATTACCACACCCTATAGTAGAAGAATGAACAACTTTCCTTACCATCTTTTTTCAAATAGATTATATATAAAACGCAATAAATGATTATATCTGATAAACACTCCTTTAATCATATAAATTATATCAGATATTTTAAATGACATAACTTTTTGAAAACTATTCTAGCAGTTGATGTCCTTGAGGATACCAAAAATGTTATATTGCGTCATTATTATCATAACAAAATCCTTGATTAAAAGGCAAATACAAAAAAAAAAACTAGAGAAAAATTGCGCTCTAACCAACAGTGACTTGGTCAAGGTTTACACATGCATGAATTACCCATAGCTGGTCTCTACACTACTGGTGTATCCGCATGTTGACTACATTTGCCCCTAATTATAACAGAACTACCCTTTATAATTTACATGAAAAAAAATCCTTTCCTGATGCCCCACCACAAACTGCCCACATACATCAGAATATTATCTGAAGTATTACCCAGAAGTACCCTCAAAACAGGCAATGGATTTGAAT